ACATGTAGGGAAGCTACTGTTTTCCTCAGACCAGCACTCTAAGATTTCAAGAGAAAAGAAGGAACTCTAAATATTTGTGAAAAGTGACATATTTGGTAAATATTACCCCAGATAATTATTCAGATTATCCATTGAGACCTCAACAGAAATGTGTTTCAGATAATGCTACTACTGTATATTCACAGACCAGATGATGTTGTGTTTGCTGTCAGTTACAAAAGTATTTTGAATCCAGTCAAAAGTATCTTGACTAAATAAAAAAAAATGCTAAAATCAGACTCTAGATACAGGGATAGTTACTGGCAGAATACTATCCATGTGTATCTGCAGATGTCACCCATAGCCAAAACCACAAACATAGAGCACAGTCCTGAAGTTTTCAGTCAGGTCCAGCTTGTCTCCTGTGTGCAAGAGGGTGTGTGTGAGAAGGCTACTCCCCCTCCTTTTCTTTCACATGCACACACACACCTGTGCAGCAGTCAAGCATAACTGTAGTCCAGGTGTAGATCCTGTTCTCTCCAGGGTACAGGTATTGCTTCTTTCATTCACTCAGTAAGACACAAGATTCCCAACAGGTCCCATGGCCCCCACAAAATGGTCAACAGATCTTTGCAGCTAAATAGGTGTATCATAATACAGACCCTTCTGTGCTCCAGAGAACTGAGGATGAATGCTTTCCAATAGTCCTTTTAGGCAATACATTTCAGCACTACGCCAACAAAAAACTGAACCCTAATAATCACTCAGGCACGTGCTAGAAAATTTAGGGTGGAATTTTCAAAGGGCTCAGAGGACTTTGATGCCCAACTTTCATTGAAGATCAATAGAAGATGGATGCCTTAGTCCCTTTTAGCCTGTATAATTCAGCAGTACATCCCTATTCAACAAAGTATTTGAGCACTTGCGTAACTTAATCATGTGTGTAAACCCCATTAACTTCAATAGGACTCACACATATGATTAAGTGCTTTTCTGAACTGGTTTCTTTGATCCTGATCCAGCAAAGCACTTAAGCATGCTTATCTTTAAGTATACCTTTACTCCCACTGACTTCAATGGGCCTAACTTTCATGCTTAAAGTTACGCACATGCTTAAACACTTTGCTGAATCATGGCCTTTTAAATAACACAATGGTCCAAATTCATCTGTGGTGTGACTCCAGTTAAATCAATGGATTTAATGCAGAGGCCTATGGTCCAATATATTCTCAAGGCAAAAATAAAAAATAAAAATAAAAATGTCCATTGGTTTAGAAATGCTAAATATTCTAAATCATAAAATTAAACACAATTTAAATGAATGGAATGCTATAAAATATGTTTTAAATTAAAGACCCAATTCAGGAAGTACTTAAGCATGTGCCTTACTTTAAACACATGCATACTTCTATTGAAGTCAACAGGACTATTCACATGCTTAACTTTAGGCATGTGCTTTAAGTACCTTAATGACTCAGGGCCCAGGTATATAAATCCTCTTTCATGTATTAAATTAAGTAAAATCCTTTAGAATTCTTAAATCATGTTGCTTTGCCTAAGAAATCTGAAGTGCTGCTCTACTCTGATGGTTATATGTTCACAATAAATCCAGGCACAAAAATCAATAGAAATATTTAAGCTTGTGATGCTGAAGGAGTGTCCTCTGGAAAAAGATCAAATGTTAAACAATTGAATCTCATATCACTATGGCACATTATTACTATAGGCAAAGAATTGTTGACATTCATATTTATTAATCTTTTTTTCAGAAGAGTATGAAAACAGTTGGCAAATAAAATATATGTGATTTATTTTATGACATCTATTTGTTCTAGATTTTCTGGGCTTCTCCACTGTTATGCAAATGAATGTGAATACGTTTATATAAAGTATGTTGTATAAGCAACTTACTAATTGGTCAGATATTTCAAATTTTATACAAGTCGTTTGTTTCACAAAAAAAGAATTATGCAAGGAAACTAAATAGATTCAATAAAAAAATTAATGAGGTCATAGGGATATGTTTTGTTTATGCAAGATGCCACAACTATATGCTAAATATATCATAGGTTTATGTTATCATAACAATGTGACATTCCCAGCTATTAATCTATGCTACAGAGTACTGCATGTATATTTAATATTCCTCAGAAAGACCATAAGGCTTATTTACATTTTCTATAGGTATTGAGGTTTTAAGGATATTTTAATATTGGGCTCTAACTCTCTACTGTCAGAATGCTGTAAAGTAAATAAAAAAGATTAAGCAATGATCTAAGCTTAGTCAAATCTATGTTCCGAATGCCAATAATGATGATTTGCCCTTAACAAAGACAGTTTCTAAAACGTCATTCTTCAACTTTCACAACATTGTGCACTCATCACTTCATACAGAAAAATATTCGAAGAGGAGCTGAATATTATATACAACATATGTGATGGCATGTGTTCCAATCATTTTAACAGCAAACCATAAGGTTAAAGAAAGTATATACACCAAGATGAACAAATGGTTTCTTAGTTGTAAGAGTAATCCTTTTTAAATAAATCTGGCATTTAGCTGAAAAATTACTGCTAGAAACTTGCAATATCTAGAATAAAGTGATTTTATTTACTTTTAATATATAGTTAAAAGCTTGGAAACTGTTAATCATTTTTCTCTACTTCACTATAATATCTGCATTTTAGTCACAGGACAAAGTGTCATTGATTTGTTTTGTTTGTTTGTTTTCATCATCTTGCATTGTGGAAAGAACACAGTTTGCATAAATTTAATTTTGAGTATTAACAGGAAATTGGTCACAACAACTAGGGAAAATTGTGAAAATTAGTGTGCACAAGGTCTAAGAGAACAAAGCACGGACATTATTATCATTTAGAATCTATGAACTGAAATGTATTTTTAAAGACAAAGTTAATGCCGCCCTTTGAAATACTTGTGTTAAAATCAAAAACACAACTTTAATAGATGACAGACATAGGTACTATATGAAGAATTACAGCTTAGAAAATTAATAAAAATTGTATCTAAAACAGTATTAGTAAGATATGAAGCTCATTCATTAATGGTCTCTGTGATAATATATCACTGAAAATGTTGCATGAAGGACAGTCTTTGATAGGATTATGTACAGTATAATAGCAAGATATTGAAATTAAAATTCACTGAGAAGATACATCTTGTGAACTGAAGGGTAAGAAGACAATAATGGTAACATTAATAATAATAAATAACAAGTATAAAATGATTCACATAAATAGAATTTCCATCAGCAATCATTATTGTAATTATGGGAATGATAAAGTAATAATCTACCATAAATAGCTAATCTTTATTGATTCACTATTTAATTTCTTTTTAAAAAAAAGCCTTTAGAATTGCTGTCAATAACAATAATGTGTACAAGGGGGGGGGGGAAGTTATACAGAGCATAAATGGTAATAAAACAGTTTTGCATAATCTATTTCTAATCTTCATTTGAAGATATTTATATTCTTTGGTGCAAGAAAAGAAAAAAATATTCCTAAAAGAATTTTCCCACTTATTTAATGAACGCTGTAGGATTTATTTTAACACATGGATCTGGGGGTTCCAAAGGCATACTGGGAAAATTCAGAAAGTTCGGTATCTGGCTTTTTATTCACAACCTTCTCCAAGGTTGGAATTGTTCTTCATCAATGGCATCTAGGAAGAAAAGACAGACCATCAGCAGTCTGACCTACAGCAGCCCTAGGGGCTGTTCCACCGCCACCAGCAAAGTTAGCACTAAAGGCAGCCAAAAGGGCAAGCAAGGGGCCAGATAAGAAAAATAGCAAGGAACTAACTATTACTGTTAGGAAATATATTCCAGAATTTAGCATATGGGTCCTTCAACTGCCAAACAAACATTCTGCTTGGTAGTGGGAATTAATTCTAATGCTAAAGCAGATAAAAGAGAAAGGGTCAGAAGGATCTTAAAGAGTATTTAACACTGGGAACTGACAAGATACACTGGCATAGTACTGTTGAAATTAGAGTCCGGTTTTAATTCCCTTTGGATTTGTAGCAGAACTTATGGAAAAAGCTTACGTTGTGTTTGAAAAAATACATTATTATGAAGAGAAAGACAGTTTTAATTCATTAGTTTTTCATTTTTTATTTTTTCTTCACCACCATAATGATGCCTTTTCTTAATTAATAGATATACATGGCCCTTGAGCCTGCAAACATTTAAATGTCTTTTCAGCCTGTTTTTAAGTTAAGAAGGAGTTGATTCATAAAAGAATATTACTTCTATGGTATATAGCATTTTCACAGATGTGCTATGTGTTGTAAGACAATGCAACGTATAAGAGCCCCAAGTCTAAAAACATGTAGGCAGGTGAATACCTATGTAAATAGTCCCTTTGAACTTAATGGGCCTATTCATTTGAGAAAAATTACTTACCTACACATGTGTATGGATCCTTACTGTGAAAACATGCAAGAATGTATGGACAGTGTAATACATTAGAAAGGAAGTGGCAACTAACAAAAACAATTAAGGGACAGAAATGCTAGAACTCTTGTGGGAAAATAACAACATGCACCCAGTGCTAGTCTATATCCCTCTCACAGTTTAAATTCATGTCCTTCCAGTGATGGCATCACACCACGCAGGCATTAAGACGAGAACTAAATGATCATTGCTGCACTCCAGGTATTTGATGTCCAAGTAGACTGTACTGCACATGCAAAGTTGTGGGCACAAAAATGGAGGCCTGGTTAAAGTCGAGATGGAAATTTACCCCTGAGAACATTGCATTATTTCTTTGTAAGCTGTATAAGAAACATATTAAAAAGAGTTGCTGTTCATGTGAGTTTAACTGGCAATAATTTGAAATATTTGATACGCTCAGAAGTTCAACAAAAGGACACTGCACCTTTAGGACAGACGTCGATGATATGGTTTCCATGTAATAAAAAGCAAAATGTTTTATTAGCATGAAAACTAACCAGAAGTATGCAATACTTAACATTGTTGTTTTGTTTTTGTTTTTAGAAAGAACATCTCACAACCCACCCATACCCAAGAGGGGCCAGATGACACATGGTGCAGAGTATTGACAGATGTGGGATATGTCTAGATATGTCTAACGGCACAGAAAAAATTCCATATGGGAGAGATTTAAAAGATTTGCACTATGTAGTTTAAAGAGAAGATGAGTAATAGGACACGATACACATTTATAAAATAATGTATGATATAGAGAATATATATATGGAAGTCCTATTTACCCTTTCTCGTGACATTAGAACAAAGAGACCCCAATGAAATTAACAAGCAAGACATTTGAAAATAATAAAAAGAAATACTTATTTTTCATAGCCTGCACTTAACCTGTGGAACTCATTGCCGCGAGATATTATTGTAGCTTAACAGGATTCAAAACAGAAGTAAACATTTATAATACCAACTCCCATAGTTACATTAGACAGGACAAAACATTTTATGGAATATAAAACTTCATGCATTAAGACATAAAGCAGCCAACTGCCTGGGTTTAGGAAGAAACTTCTCCATTAGGAAAGTTGCATATAATTGCTTATTAAGTGGTTTCTTGCACCTTTCTCCACAAAAGCATGTAGTATGGGCCAATCTTGGAAATAGGATAGTGGACTAGCTGGACTGTGAGAATTCTATATTCCTTTGATATTAATAGTTTGCTTTGATTTTCCACAGACACAAACCAAGATGAACTAATTTGACTTCATCCTCTAACAACCAGGTTCTTCTTTTAATTGTTATTAGTATTTTATCCACTTAATTGCTCATCTTCCCTGAGTAAGGCATTTGGGACTAACACCTTTGTGATATTTGTGTGTGCCAAATTTGTGGGATGGCTCTGATAATTATTCATTAATCATGACTATATGGATAATTCTACAGCCAGAGACCCTGCAAATAGTAAGTGCCTATAACAGGGCTGTCCTGAGTCAGACTTCTTGAATGTTATTTCCATTTGAGGAATTTTGATAAGTTTGTTTCCCCCTAACTTGAGTTTGCATATCTCTAATATTACCAATGTGTACCTGAAGCTGATCCTTCTTTTCAGGTAGTGCATTCATTGCTGTGGATGGGGAAGTCTAAGGATTGGGAGCCAGTCAGACCTAAAAAGGAAAAGAGCTAATGAATTGCTTTAAAAAATTGAAAAAATATGTGAATAAGTATGTGAGATTATACACACTGTAAATGGGGCATGCAATCTTAAAAGAATAAAGCCGTAAAATTCTGCTGTTTAGCCTATTGTTAATTAGATCATTTAAATATATTAAAAAATAACTACTGAATTTAAACTGTTCCCTTTTCTATACTTTAGTTCTCTTGATGATTTCTTGAAAAAGTAAAATGATCTCACTGTTATTTGATCGCTCTACACTTTAGTCGAGATGCATTGTATAAAATATAATGCAGTACAGATGTCAAACCAAGAACTAAATAGCTTATATTTCTAAAGAACCATGAAAAAATATTAACACTATAGAAACAATGGTTCGGTAATTACTTTTTGCTGTGGAATCAGGTTAGGCATTTATCCGTATAGATCCCTAATACACTTAAAGTCAGCTCTGCCCCTGTGGTCCTTTTACCTTTGTTGATAAATGTATTGCACAGGATAGCTTGTATGACCACTACAGTATTTGAGGTCATGCTAGGCTGTTAGCACAAATGGTGTGAACAATAGTTTATATGCCACTTAACTCCTTGGGAGAAACAGTTAACCTTGCCAGAGAGGACAGATCAGTCATGTATAGTTATTAAAGTCTAAAAGGTTTTGTTATACTCTGAAATACTTTTATAAAAGTACAGTACTCTTCTGGTATTAGCTTTCCCAAGCAGGAAAGCAACAAAGCAAACAATCATCTTTAGTATCTTTATGAAAGGGGTATTCAAAGTTAAAAAAAAAAGTTTTCACAGATGTGTCTCACTCAACACACCTGCATTGCCGAAGCTTCAAATACATTTTATGTTACTTCATCATTAGACTTCCTGGTGCCTAAATTCCACCAAATTAACAATATAGAAACCTATAGGTCTGAGAGATACAGTTTATGAAAGATTTTTTTTGGTGGCCATAGCACTAAAGTCCAAACACAAATGAAAGTGGATCATTTTGATTATAAATTTCAAAAAGCATCTTAATATCCTCTAATTGACTGAGCTGTCTGTAACACTGATGGCCCTTATCGTTCCTAGACATCATTTACAATTAACTAAAGAAAGTACCTTGAAACCAATTTTAATCCCCATAGTCACTCATGGATGGGGAGGGCACAGTGAGCAAGGAAAAATGGAATAGAGTAGGAATTTTGGACCTATTTCCATCTGAAGAACAGAATTTGGCAATGAGACTGACATTAAAATCATCAACTACATTTTAATGATGTAATAACATAGCCACACTACTATGTATTGTGAGCCAGTGACTCTATTAAGTTAAACAATCTAAGCAGGGCTGGCTATGAGACCTCCAAGGAACACCAACGTACCACAGGAAATGGTGCTGGTGATTCAGTCGGTGGCACTTTTCATTCTAAGACAGTATTGAAGAAAGGGGCCTCAGGTGAAATATAAACATAAAAGTCCCCACCACTTGGTATCATTCAAGATTCCATGGCACTTTTGGCCCATAGGAATGCTGGGGCCATAGGGAACCTCTGGATGACACAAAGGGAGGTTGTAGCAGCTACTCAGCGTCTGTATGCCTAGCAGAAAGTGCATCGTCTAGGCAGTTTGTCTTCTTGTTGCCCCTAATGAGGGCTGTGCCTAACTGGTACAATTGAACCCTGTATGACGACCACTTTACCACAACTGAAATGTAGCCACCTATGGGATGACTCACAGCAGCTGTGCAGTTATGTACAGCAATGGTACACAGTAGTTTTAGGAGAAGAAGTAATAAAGAATACCATTTCCCACATGCATGTGGGAAAATATATCTTAAGGGGTAAGCTGTAGCAAAAATCTGTTTCTAGATGGTTAGTAAACTACATAAATTCATGTACACATTTACTTATATGTTAGCATTTTGTTATTAAGAACTGATACACCAGGAAGGAAGTGAAGTATATTTTCCATTTATTTAAGAGTAGGGAAGGGAAAAAAAGAAAAAAGAAAGAGAGACTTTTACCACCACTGCCTATTTAAATCTTCTAACTGGCAAAATTAAACCATGTCTCTTTATTTATTTATTGTACTTGTAAAAAGATTAATGGGGATGTGATTCCTTCAGGCTTTTACATATAACCCCGTCACACAAAGAACAAAATTATACAGTGCGGCAAACGAACTAAATTAGCTACATTTATTTAAATAACCGCTATGGAGGAAACAATAAATCAACAAAAATCCTCACAAAAATGTGTTTACAAAGTGTCTTGTAATTTGTTTTAGCAAGGACACAGATTTTTAGCTCTTAGCTAAGCTTCCTTCTAACAGTCTATTATCATATCAACTGTTAATGAGTGTTTGCTATAGAAAGCATCAGATTTCTTGCAACCAAAAGTATTTGTAACTTCCACCGTATTGTCCTCTAAGACATGGCTGCCCTCCCAACGTGAAATAGATTTTCCTAATAAACATTTTTTCAAAGGTTTCTAAAAACTTGGGAGACAATCAAAATTAAATGACAGAGCTTTGTTAAATCAGAAAAAGAGGTTATTTGAATGGTCATAATCATGCAATTATCTCATCTTCACTGAATTTCAAAGGGCTCTATCTATATCTAGTCCTATATCAGGAGTAAGTGAGTAGGGGGAGCTCTAATGCTGAACCCGTGATGTATTCATAAATCAGTACTTTCAGAGCCTGTCATGGGCTCCATAATGAGGGTCATTATTCAGGCAGAGTGTCAAAACTACTATCAAAGGACCTTCTCAGAATCACAATCATTCTGTTTCTTGTTAAATAAGCAATGTAGTACACAAAAATGGCAAACAAGAAGCAGGTCAATTTGATACAGTATGAGGGCACAGAGACCTCTAGAGTAATTTACCCTCTGGGAATTCTGATGGCTTGTGAGATAAATTATATACACCCTCAGAAAAGATTAATGGTAATAAAATCCCTGGAATATTTTCAGAAAAAAATGTCCATATGTATGTACGGTAACTTCAGTAACAAAGAAGACATTTTCTAAAGACATTTTAACAACTGTGAGTAGCTCTACGGAAAGCTCCTAAATCTTATTAGCAAATTGGCAGCACTCAGTGGCAGTGCCATATTTCGATTTTCTGAGAGAGTTTATTTCAAAAACCTGACAGCTTTCCTATGTCAAACAGAAGGGGGTTAAAAAAAAAAGGAAGAAACACTCATTCATTGCCAAAAATAGATTCCATGAGATGTACATTTATTGATCTCATTTTATTACAGGCAATAACAGGTGCAACAACAGAAACTATTAACAAAATGTCACATGGACATTTGACCAGACACGGTAAACTTAAATTATTTAAAATTGATTGAGATCAAGCCTAAGTACTCAGCACTCTCTATGTCTTCTGAAACCAATGGGAGTTGAGGAGGTTCAAAGCTTCACTAGCTTGGGCTTCAGCAGTACTCTATTTGTCCACCTCATACAAAAATATCACACACTGTTCATATGCATATAGACAAGTTTCAGAGTAGCAGCCGTGTTAGTCTATATCCACAAAAAGAACAGGAGTACCTGTGGCATTTTAGAGACTAACAAATTTATGCATCCGATGAAGTGGGCTGTAGCCCACAAAAGCTTATGCTCAAATAAATTTGTTAGTCTCTAAGGTGCCACAAGTACTCCTGTTCTCATATGCATATAGACACCTATGTACGTTCACATATAGTATATGGCCAAGATTTTCAAATATAGGTGCAGAAAGTTAGGTTCTTAAGTCTAAAGTTCAGCTCCTACATTCCTACATGGCGATCCATACAGGCTTACCCCTCTGAACAAGCAGAGCTGCATTTACTTCAATGGGGCTTTCCCATGGCTGCAAGGGTCAACAGTACCGAACAAGCAGCACAATGCGGACCAGCATCTAAATTAGATTGCTAATTTTTAAAAGTGGTTTCAATGGGAGCATATGGGTGCTCAGTACTTTTGAAAATCAGGCCACTTAAGTAATCCCCACATAAGAATTTAGGAGACTAACTTTAGTCACTACTTTTTTAATATCTTGGCCACACGTGGATGTTGGTGTGCAGTGTTTGCATTCTGTGGAAAACTCAGCAATCATTGCATTCAACAAAAAGTATAAACAAAATATTGCTCAAAGAAATGGAAGCCTGGTTCTTATCAAGGTGAGCAGTAGATTAAAAAGAGTCACACTAAATTCCTCATAAATTCCTCAGCTTCACTTTACCAAACTGAATTTTGTGTGACAATCAATCCTACCCTGACCAGACTTATTGTTTAAGTAAATTTGTATCTGCGGAATAATCAAAAGCAAACCAATTATATTCAGGCATCTTTTTTATCCATCTGTTTGGATATAACTGTCTATTAAATGGTGTTTGCATATGAGGCAATGTTCTATTGTATGCATAGATACTCAATTATTTAGATTATACATTTGAATAAACTGTGCAGTTAAAGGAATACCCGTGTAATGTAGGACAATTACATTTTCTATCACAGTTTATAGGTTATTAAACTAATATTAATTTGCCCCACACTACTGGATATAGGATCCTAACCTTCACCTATGAAAGTTCTTTTGTTTATTTCTACCTCTACAATTAGCAGCCATTGTTAGTCACTTCAAATGATATCAAATTATGTAAAATAGTCACAGCAAAAAGGTCACATGAATAGAGACTACCAAAAATTAATTTCACCAAAGTGTGTACATTAAAATGTAGGCTAGCTTAATGCAATTGTAAAAATCTTAGCTATTTATGATGGGCCTCCAGTTTTATCTATAAGAAAATTCCCATTATTTTTAAAGTTTCTTTTTCTGACTAGTAGAAGAAAACAACATGTAATTCTATGACATCATGTGAATAAATAGTTCATCGTCCAGCAAATCAGAGTGGCTCCAAAGGGGAATCCAGTTGTTTTTCTGTTAAAATAGGGAAGAAGTCAAATAATACTCAACACATAGAAATCAGCCAATTCCTACATTCTCTGAAACATCAGTTTTCAGTTACTCATTATGCTGAACACTCCTGAGTGCCAAAAAACAAAAACCTACAGCCTCAACATTTAGGCAGCACAGGGCTTTCCACTGACTTCAGTGAGCATTGGATCTGCCATAGGATTGTGATTTGGTAGTGTTTTCCATCCACTTTGCACAGATATAAATGACTACAAAATGCAGTGGAGAATCAGGCTTTCTGTCTGTGTGTATATATATATATATATATATTAAAAAAAAGTCATCATAGAATCAGAATATTAGGGTTGGAAGAGACCTCAGGAGGTCATCTAGTCCAATCCCTTGCTCAAAGCAGGACCAACACCAACCTAAATCATCCCAGCCAGGGCTTTGTCAAGCCGGGCCTTAAAAACCTCTAAGGATGGAGATTCCACCACTCCCTAGGTAACGCATTCCAGTGCTTCACCACCCTCCTAGTGAAATAGTGTTTCCTAATATCCAATCTAGGTCTCCCTCACTGCAACTTGAGAACATTGCATCTTGTTCTGTCATCTGCCACCACAGAGAACAGCCTAGATCCATCCTCTTTGGATCCCCCCCTTCAGGTATTTGAAGGCTGCTATCAAATCCCCCCTCACTCTTCTCTCCTGCAGACTAAATAACCCCAGTTCCCTCAGCCTCTCCTCATAAATCATGTGCCCCAGCCCCCTAATCATTTTCGTTGCCTTCCTCTGGACTCTCTCCAATTTGTCCACATCCCTCCTGAAGTGGGGGGGACCAAAACTGGACACAATACTCCAGGTGTGGCCTCACCAGTGCTGGACAGAAGGAAATAATCATTTCCTTCGATCTGCTGGCAATGCTCCTACTAATACAACCCAATATGCCATTGGCCTTCTTGGCAACAAGGGCACA